ATGGGCTGTCGGACCTCAAGAGAAGATGGTAAGGATCTTTCACAGCATCTCGACGCCCCCAAGTCCCCCCCCCCTACAGACAAGTCCACCTTCACTCAACAAATAAGTCCACCTTCACTCAACAAACAAGTCCACCTCCACTCAACAAACAAGTCCACCTCCACTCAACAAACAAGTCCACCTCCACTCAGCAAACAAGTCCACCTTCACTCAACAAACAAGTCCACCTTCACTCAACAAACAAGTCCCCCTCCACTCAACAAACAAGTCCACCTTCACTCAACAAACAAGTCCACCTCCACTCAACAAACAAGTCCACCTCCACTCAACAAACAAGTCCCCCTTCACTCAACAAACAAGTCCTCCCTTCACTCAACAAACAAGTCCACCTCCACTCAACAAACAAGTCCACCTTCACTCAACAAACAAGTCCACCTCCACTCAACAAACAAGTCCACCTTCACTCAACAAACAAGTCCACCTCCACTCAACAAACAAGTCCACCTTCACTCAACAAACAAGTCCACCTCCACTCAACAAACAAGTCCACCTTCACTCAACAAACAAGTCCCCCTCCACTCAACAAACAAGTCCACCTTCACTCAATAAACAAGTCCCCCTCCACTCAACAAACAAGTCCACCTTCACTCAACAAACAAGTCCTCCCTTCACTCAACAAACAAGTCCTCCCTTCACTCAACAAACAAAGCCCCCTCCACTCAACAAACAAAGCCCCATACCATCCACCAACCATCCACACTTATCACCCTTCTCTGGTCTCTTGAAAAATATAATTGAAAACAAATCTTGAGACAAAAGAACTCTGATATATAAATAAATTGCCTAGTTTCCCCCTGAAGAATATTTGACCAGGAATTCTAACCCAGGAACCGAAGCAGCATTCTGCTTGACGGAACCTTCCGTTTCTGTTAAAGCTTAACAGTACAACAGTCTGTTGAACAGTTAAACAGACTGTTGTGATAGGATTAAGGCCCACGTTCGTGTAGGTGACTTATGGACGGCATAAATGCAGATGTACCTAAATGTGTGTGAGGATTAACCGAAATTGATCGACGTTGCATGAACATTGATTCAACGTCAATTTAACGTCGTAAACGTTGATTGAACGTTACACTTAAGCATTTTGCCCACTAGGGAGAGAGAGAGAGAGAGAGAGAGAGAGAGAGAGAGAGAGAGAGAGAGAGAGAGAGAGAGAGAGAGAGAGAGAGAGAGAGAGAGAGAGAGAGAGAGAGAGAGAGAGAGAGGCAGAGAGAATATGAGGCACAATATCCTAGAGTAACGTTCAATCAACGTTAAAGCAACGTCGAATCAGCTGGGACACGCTATACATACACAGAGCTTCCACACCCCCCACATTAACACCGGGACCAAAGAGCCAAAGCTCAACCTCTCCCGCAAGCACAACTAGGTGAGTACTAAGTTGCCACAGTCACATGTACAGCAGTTGCCACAGTCACATGTACAGCAGTTGCCACAGTCACATGTACAGCAGTTGCCACAGTCACATGTACAGCAGTTGCCACAGTCACATGTACAGCAGTTGCCACAGTCACATGTACAGCAGTTGCCACAGTCACATGTACAGCAGTTGCCACAGTCACATGTACAGCAGTTGCCACAGTCACATGTACAGCAGTTGCCATAGCCAAACGCACTCTCGGTTGACACATCCACAACAGCTCCTTATGCCACACCCACCACGGTGGCAATATTTTATGCAACTCTGAAATTATTGGTGCAATTTTGCCTAATATACGTTGTTAAGTTTTTTCGAGTTTACATAATACACACAATGAGGTTTACCGGTAAACCATTTTGCTTTCACGGGCAGCATATGCCAATGTAAACTGATTGTATACTGTTTGCCGGTATTGACTGGCAACACTGACAGGGGGGAAAAGGCTGAAAAAGTCTGAAAATTACCACATTTTGTTATCTTGAGGTTATCTTGAGATGATTTCGGGGTTTAGTGTCCCCGCGGCCCGGTTCTCGACCAGGCGGCTTTTTTTTTGTTACCCCCCCCCCCCAGAAAGCAGACTGTAGCAGCTATCTAACTCCCAGGTACCTATTTACTGCTAGGTAAAACAAGGAGCATCAGAGTGAAAGAAACTCTGCCCATTTGTTTCCGCCTGCACCGGGGATCGAACCCGGAACCTCAAGACTACGAATCCCGAGCGTGATCCACTCAGCTGTCAGACCCCCCCTAATGTCATGCCCATTATTACCGGGTGAAAGTCAGAGCACTGATCGTGAATAAAGACTAAGCTAATAGTGAATAAAGACTAAGCTAATAGTGAATAAAGACTAAGCTAATAGTGAATAAAGACTAAGCTAATAGTGAATAAAGACTAAGCTAATAGTGAATAAAGACTAAGCTAATAGTGAATAAAGACTAAGCTAATAGTGAATAAAGACTAAGCTAATAGTGAATAAAGACTAAGCTAATAGTGAATAAAGACTAAGCTAATAGTGAATAAAGACTAAGCTAATGAATTTCAGTCTGAATTTCCGCCGTCTTAAGTTCATTCAGTACCGTTAATTCATTATTAATTTAAAATAATGTGTTACGAAATAGCTGGCGCGCGCGCCGCTGCTGCCCTCAGAAGATGGTTACAGCTGGATTTTGTTAATTATGCATGATAGATGGAGCATGATAGTTAAGTGAATCAGACCAATTTGTGGCACATATCAATCTAGATATCAAATATTGAATTCAGCAAGAGAAAGATGAGGTAGCTGTTACGAGAAAGTGGTAAGGATTTATGACTAGATGATACTCATAAAGAATATGAGGACTGAGTGAGAGGATGGTGTCCAAGACGTTATAGCAATCACAGAAACAAAACTGAGAAGTGTTACCGGAAAAGCCCTCTTACGAGGACGTCAAGTAATAAGGAAAGATAGGATGAACTCAACCCGTCTTCCTAATAGAACGTCGCATTTTGACGTATACTCTACCTAGGGGCCAAAAATTGTCGTCTTAGAAAATGGTAGCGACTCGCGTCCCGTTTTGGGTCCTCTAGGAGGTTAGGATAAGGGGACTTTGGTACGACAGTTTCTTGACCTCGGGAACCTTACTAGGACGGGCTGGGTGAACAAGCATGCAGATGGGATTACCCTGCTGCTACGTCGATATTGGAGCTCCTAAGAACTACCTTGAGGTTACCTTGAGGTGCTTCCGGGGCTTAGCGTCCCCGCGTCCCGGTCGTCGACCAGGCCTCCTGGTTGCTGGACCAGAAGGCTGTTGGACCAGGAGGCTGGTCAACCTGGCTGTTGGACGCGGCTACTCTCTGCCTGACGTATGAATAACAGCCTGGTTGATCAGGTATCAATCTAATATTAAAGGTATCAGAGAAAATCAATCAGCAAGAGTACATATCAGGAATAACAAGAGTTGATGACATAAAATTAGTGGTAACAGGAATTTACGATCTAAAATCTCAGATGGGTGCAAGGTATCTGTGAGATCCTTCCTTATTGTGGGCGTTCAGTGGTGCAGCGGGTAGAGCTACGGGCTTGTCTTTTGGGGGTCCTGGGTTCGAGGCGCCAATGGACACCTCTTGGGAGGTGTCCATTGGCGCCTCGACCAACAGTGTCACATAGTGCAAGTGACGTGACACTGTTGGTTGTGTCAGACTAAGTCCCTTGTCACATTGCCTGATACCGGAGCTTGTTCACCTCTGGAGGGTTTGTGAACACTTGTGAACACCTTGTGTTCACCTCTGGAGGGTTTGTGAACACTTGTGAACACCTTGTGTTCACCTCTGGAGGGTTTGTGAACACTTGTGAACACCTTGTGTTCACAGTGCGTAATCTGGACAGATCTTGTGTTTCGTCATGACCTCTCGGTGAATCACTTATAAAGCGATTATTTACATATTTATTTGTGTCATTAATGTATGCCTATATATACGCATACCTACATACATACATACATGTGTATGTGTAAGTATATATGTACATATATATGCAAGATTAACAACTGTGTAACTAGCTTCACAAGACCTTCACTTGCTTAGCTAAACCAACTATAGAGTCCAGTTCCTGAGCCCATATTATGTGCCCCTGTAACCCGTTCCACCGCCGCCCACGGGATGGGGTATAAGAGGGGTTGCATAATACAGAACTTTGACCTTAACCTTGACCTACACTGACCTTGGTAGTGGTGGTGTGGACACCGTCGGTGGCAGCGACTGTGAGAGTATAGTGATGTTGGTCCTCGTGGTCAAGACGCCTCGCTAAGCTTACAAGACCGGAGTCGATACCCATGCTAAATCTCCCACTCTCGTCTCCCTCTGTCAATGGCGCCAAGAAAGCGGTTAGTTAGTTAATTAAGTCAGTTGTGGGAGGAAGGGAGAGAATTATCAGGGGAAAAAGCGCCTATAGCCATTACGACTATATATATACCACTGTGAAGGGGTCAGGATAAGGATTTGGGATGGGACGAGGGAGAGGAATGATGCCCAACCACTTGTGGACGGTATGGGATGGAACGCCGACCTGCATGAAGCGAGACCGTCGCTCTACCGTCCAGTCCAAGTGGTTGACTGGGTTGTCGGAGAGGTTAAGAATACTAGTTACCACCTTGCTTGTCTTTGCTCAGAATATATATATATATATATATATATATATATATATATATATATATATATATATATATATATATATATATAAAGAATATGAGGATAAAAACATCCAGAACAGGATAGGGAATACCAGGATAAGCATCCGGGATAGAACAGAGGCAAGGAATGGAATCCAGTCACTTGGACCATCGGGAATTGAACGCCGACCTGCAAGAAGCGAGGCCTCCGCTGTACCGACCGGTACAAGTGCTTGATTAATACAAAATATACATGGAATATCTGCATATTAAAAACATATAAATAAAATACCTGAATATATATATATATATATATATATATATATATATATATATATATATATATATATATATATATATATATATATATATATATATATATATGAACGTTTTAAGATAGCACAAGACAATAAGGTTATAGCACCAAGCAGAAGATTGAGTAAATAATATACTATAAATAATATGATTTATCCATCTTAGTATATTGTAAATCCACAAATAAAGTGTAATAGAAATTTAACAGATACAAAAGTTCCTAATACCAATAAACAATTGAGAAATGACTGGCTACCACGCTACTTGAAGACTTTTTTTTATTTCCTTTCGTCTTAAAAATGTGTCTTGTTGTCCGGGAAACGTCGCCATCACCTCACAACATATTGACTTACTGGTAAACCAACGAGGTTTCCCCTGGTGGGTTTACCACAGGTTTGGTTAGTTGCCTTTCCTAGTATGTTCACTGTTGCCCGGAGTCTCTTTGGATGCCCCGTGACATCTCCCACGTGATATCTCACTCTCACTAAATGTTTTGGTTTATATATATATATATATATATATATATATATATATATATATATATATATATATATATATATATATATATATATATATATATATGTTCGTCACACGACATCTACTTAACTAATCTTCTTGCAAAAACATTACACTCTCACCATTCTCTTATTTTCTAGCATCTATTTTAACT